TTTTTTTTTTTCTCCCTTGGGAAGAAACCTTTTTCTGATATTCATTGTTATGCCATAATAAAACTAACTTGTAAAGAGTAAGAAGAAGAAGCTTTATTTTATTGTCATTGTAACATTGTGACATGTACCGCGAAATTCTGTTTGGAGCCGAGGGGCCCCGGGCGGCTTCGTGCATACGTGCCGCCATCACGGGCAACTTGGGGGTGTTCATTGTTTTGCCCAAGGACACTTTAACATGTGGACGGCATGCACTGAGATTCGAACCTTCAACCTTCCGGTTGGGAGACGACTGCTTGGGGGGGTGCTCCTGTGTGGGGAAAAGGATATGATGACTGCATGGAAAAGATGGAGGGTATAGTGGGAAAGTTAAGAGAGTTTTAAAAATATTGCATATTAAGTATGAAAATGGAAAGGGTACCACAGTATTAATTTTAAATTGAATTCAAAGGTATAGTTGGCGATTCTGGAAAAAACCAGCAAGAGGAAGCTTGATTTATTTACTTATATATATGAAATTTATTTTTAAGTAGCGGATCGAAGAAATCCCCCTTTTTCATTCTGATTTCTTTCCAAAGCCACTCCTCTAAAACACAACGTGCAATACCTGACTACTACTTAAAGATTTCAGGAAAATAACAAATGCCCCCCGAAAAACGCACAAAACCAATAACTACTTGTCCAGCAGAAATACAGCCACCATGGTATCGCTTTTCAACCCCTTTCATTCTCTCAGTTGCCGCCATTGTTAAAAAGCCACACCAGTGTTAATTCTGGTTTTACTTCTTGCAGTATCCAACTTCTTTTTAGTTGTAACTTTTTTCAGTTCATTGTAACCTGCCCTGAACCGTAGTTGGGGACCTCTGGTTCATGGCTAAGCTGCTTTAGCCCTGGCTCCTTGCCAGTAAACAATCTTAGAACTGCAAGGTCTGGCAATGAAGAGGGAGGCCAGCTAAACATGTTTCAGAACACAGGCTTTATTCTTGGTAACACAAACACTGCATGTGGCCTTTGATGCCCAGTTAACTGCATTACAGTCCTATCTATACACTTAGAGCTGACTACTGTTGGTATTTTCCCCACCTGTGGCTGCATGTAAAAGGAGTCTGTGGTCTTCTTGCTCTCATACTTGTCACATTGCATACAGGTTGCAACTTCTGGCAAAAACAACAACATTACCTATAACGCTATATAACTTACAATGGAAGGCCTGGCCTGTAAAAAGAGTCTGTTTGTGAGCCAAATCTGGTGTGGGCACTTTCTCTGCTATAGCTCACTAGCTTTAGCTGTAGTCACGAGGTCTTAAAGACTGTTTTAAGCCCACAACCGTGGTGTAAGGATGAGTCACCAATCACTATACTATCAAAACAGCAGTAACACAACTGCCTGCCTGTGCTTGTAGGAGATTCTTGGCTTGTGCAAGGACAGGGTGCGTGCAAGTAGGAAGTAGGTTGCCAGGCAGGTAAGCCATCCAATGGTGTTGCTTGGATCGAGTAAAATTGGTCAGGTTTTTTCAGCCCTGCTGCTGCTGGAGATGATGGATTTGTTTCTTTGTGTTGTCACTACATTTAATGTATTCATTGTCATTGAGATGAAAAGAGAATTTCAAGCTATGTAACAAATGGTTTTTGAAAAGAATCGCCAACCCTTCCTTTAATGTAGAAAATTACCGTTGATCCTAAATGATAGTACAAATCAAATGTGTTTTTAATTTGAGTTTTGCAAATATCAGTACATAAATGGTATTCAATTGGATTTGGGTGGAATTACATTAGAAGTGTGTTTTATTGCCTTTGAAACCAGAAGCCTAATTGTTTGAGCTATCGGTCAGTGAAACAAGCATGCCTCTTTTTTAAAACCTCTTACGCTCCCATATTTCTCTGGTCTACAGGTCTTCACCATCTTTGCCTTTGCCACTACAGGAGGTTACTCTGGGACAACACACTTCAAAGTCACCTGTCCAGACACCTCTAAGGATGTAGTGGCTGTGTTTGGCTATCCATTCAGGTACTGTAGAACAGTAGAGCACTCCTTTATGCTTTACAGGGTTGTGTTTGTAAAATTTGCTATCTGCACTGACATTGCAGGACTAGGGCTGAACTATTAATTGCTTTCAAATTAAATAAGTTTTTAAGTGCTACAAATTATAAACCATCCCAGCAGTGTCCCCTCAGCACGGTCCGAAATAAACTTTTTGACTCACGGCCAAGGTGGCTGGTAGATGGGAAAAATCCATTTGCCAAACTTTTTTTTTTACTGGCTAAAATAATAAATTGCCTTATTGTGCCACATACACATTTGCTTCAGGATTTCATTGACAAAATATGGTATTATGCTGAATACATGAGTAAAGAGGCCAGAGCAAAATTTGAAGCAACATAATTTTAATAGCCTATATCAATCAGCAGTTAATATACTGTATTTATTAATTCATTTTTAAATTAAAATGTATGTATGTATACAACACTCACACTGCAACCCCTCACCCCCCGAACAACATAGTCCTGTACTTTAAAACACAACAGGGAGTTGCATTTTCGCTGGACTACTGATATCACAAGACAGCTTTTACCTCGATGAGAAATTTCACCATGTTTTAATATCATGAGCTCACGTGGCACAAGATCTCGTCACACCCCTACTGGACACACACATGCACTGCTGTAGAGGAACTACTGGTCTCAGCCCCCCAAGTCCACAAGAACTCAACCCATTTTCATACACAGAGCCCGTTCGACTCCACTGTTTACATAAAATGAGCATTTGTCTTGTCTTGCTCTCAACAATTTACTATAAGCAGTGGAACTAGCACCGTGTGGGTTTAATGGGTGACCAGGCAGTTTGACCGCAGGGAGAGTAAGGATGATGCATTTCTGCAAGGTTGTTGTTTGACTCTCTCTATTGCTGCTGGTTTTGTTCCACATATCAAGCATTGAAGTCTCTGTAAAATGAGACCTTGTGTCTGTGTGAGATGGAATGGGAGGGGCGCTCAGACACACCCACAGCAGAGCAAGGAAGCAGAACTCAGTTGGCTTTACTTTTATCATCGTCTCATCTTAAAATATCCATGAACCACTGAAATTTCTTCTCCACCGCCTAACGACCGGCTCAGCCAGCATGAGCTTAATATAATGCTGCTGTTAAGTGGTATCAGTGCATAGTATCGGACAACTTTTATGAGTACAAGTACTAGAGGGTGGTATAGGACCCGATACTGGTATGAGTACATCCCTAGTTTGCAGGTTATGCTGAAGTGAGACTAAGAGGGATATTTGGGAAATGTTATGGCAAAATTAAAAAAAAAAAAAAAAAAAAAAAAAAAAAATTTAACATTTGGGAAAAGCATGGATAGAATCGGTGGCACGATGCGATGTTATGCCAGACACATGGAGGGAAACGGTGAGGTCTTAATTCAAAGCAGGGCAAGTTTATTTGTGTAGCACATTTTAGTTAGCAGTCCTCTACCTGATGACCTAAGAAATCAAGAAGGATCATATAGTAAAAGACATGGATGTATTTTAGTCAAAAGACAGAGTTGTATAAACCAGCACCTCTTTAATTGTGTTGTCTTACACACCACAAGGCAGTGCAGAGACCTGAGAACTGGTGTGATGTATTCATTTCTTGGCCAGTTTTAGGGCTCAAGCAGCAGCTTTCTGAGTGAACTGAAGCTGTCAGTTTCATAGGGGAAGATCTATAAGAAGGCTGTTGGAGCAATTCAACTTTATTTGTATAGCACTAAATCACAACAAAAGTCATCTCAGGACACTTTACAAAGTAAGTTATCACTATTATAGAGGAAAACCCAACAAATCCCACTTGAGCAAGCACTTGATGACAGCGGGGGGGGGGGGCAGTGCTTCTTCAGCAGGCAGCAACCCTCCGACAGACCCCGGCTCTTGGTGGGCAGCCTTCTGCCTCGACCAGTTGGGGTGAGTGGACAGAGGAGAAAGGAGAGAAAAGAAAAGCAACAAACAATCAAATATACTGCTGCAAAATAAAAGCTTGTGATTTTTGTCAATGTAACATTTGCTTGCCATTCTATACTCGATACATTCAATATATTCCTGCTTTAAATAAATAGAAAAAAAATGTACAAAGAGGTGGGGGGGAGAAGACAGAAGAGAAAGAGGTGTCCTCTGTTCTGAAAACATTTGGTATCATTGAGAATTCACGGCTGATCCTGACGTACAAGGAGGTCTGCAGCGTTCAAAATCTGCATCGTCCGTCTGTTTAGCTTGCCCCTACTGAGTAGTAATCATACCTATATACTGCTGTATGAATGCTAATATCTTTACGACCTCCATTGTGTTGGCACATGGTACTGAAGTAAATAGTGATGAAATTATTTCCTTCAATTTGGTAACAGCATTGTCGCATAGAGATCTACTGTACTGGATTTTCCTCACATAGTGTATAATTCATTAATGTAAATTCAAAAGTTAGAAAATGGTCAGACAGAAGAGGGTTTTGGGGAAAAACTATTAAATGTTCACTTTCGATGCCATATGCCAGAACAAGATCAAGGGTGTGATTAAAACAGGGAGTGTGATTATTTACAGTTTGAGAAAAGCCAGTGGAGTCTAATAATGAATTGAATGCACTGTTGAGGCTGTCATTGTCCGCATTTACATGGATGTTAGTCACCCACTATGATCATTTTATCTGTACTAAGCACTAAATCAGACAAAGTCTGAGAATTCACTTAAAAACTTCAAAAAAAAGGGGGCAGGTGGATGGTAAACAATAACAAATAGAACTGGCTTTTCAGTTTTCCATTTTGGGTTTGAGAGACTCGGAGTGAAGCTTTCAAATGAGTTAGAACTACTGTATGTTTAGGTCTAGGGCTCATTAATAGACTTGAGTCGATGGTCGTTGCCACACCCCCACCTCAGCCTTGCTTTGAGGGATTTGACAGTTACTGTGACTAAGTGGGGTGGATTCATTTAGACCAGGAGTGGGCAAACGTTTTGGCTCAGGGGCCACATTGACTTTTAAAATTTGACAGACAGGCCGGACCAGCACCAGATGCATACATATCAAATATAAACATATAAAAGGCATTACAGTGTTAATACTTACATTCACTTTCAGTGGGAACAGTGTTGTTGATCACCCTTTGTTGCCAGTGCATCGAAGTCTGGTGTTAGTTTTGTTGTGGCAATTCTCAGAACAGATCTGAGGTGTTCATCACTCAACTGGGATCTGTGGGGTGCTTTGTTGGTGTTCATCACACTAAAAGTCTGTTCACACAAATAGGTAGAGCCAAACAACACCAGCATTCTCTGTGCCATCTTCTGAATGTTTGGAAATTTGGCTGCACTTAATGAAGCATAAAACTCATCCAGTTTAAGAGAGTTTAACTTCTCCTTTAAGATGGTGTTACATTGGCGCCGTTTCAGGGTCTAGTGTGAAGGGACATGACACCAGCTGAAGTGACTTGTCAATTTTTCCAAAATCAGAGAACCGAGGGCAGAATTCTCCGTGCAGGTCGTCCAGTGATTTCCTGTATTTTGTGGACTTCGATGCACTGGCAACAAAAGGTGATCAACAACATTGTTCCCACTAAAAGTGAATGTAAGTATTAACACTGTAATGCCTTTTATATGTTTGTTTGATATGTACAGTCAGGGAAAAAATTATTTGAACCCCAGCTGATTTTGAAAGTTTGCCCACTAACAAAGAAATGATCAGTCTACAATTTCAATGGTAGGTTTATTTGAATAGTGAGAGACACAACAATAACAAAAAATGCATTACAAAAAAGTTATAAAGTAATTTGCATTTTCATGAGTGAAATAAGTATTTGATCCCTTTGCAAAACGTGCTTTAGTACTTGATGGCAAAACCTTTGTTGGCAATCAAAGAGGTCAGACATTTCTTGTAGTTGGCCACAAGGTTTGCACACATCTCAGGGGGGATTTTGACCCACTCCTCTTTGCAGATCTTCTCCAAGTCATTAATGTTTCATGGCTGATGTTTGGCAACTCGAACCATCACCTCCCTCCACCGAATTTCTTTGGGGTTAA